ATATTATAAAGTAGTTTAATTGCAGGTAACTGTTAAACCACTGAGTTAATTCACTAATATACAAAGTTCTATATATGGTTTCTGTTTCAGGTGCTGTTCTAAATCACGAGCCAAAGTCAGTTTTAAGCACGTGCTACTTGTATCTGTTGTTATCCTTAAACTTAAGTGGTATGCTGGAAGAACAGATAAGTCAAGTAACAGCTATGAATGACCAGTCTTGCAGTATGACTGTTAAATATTTAGATTGGATTCCATAGTGTACTTGATGAGCATATGTGCAAGCTCTTCAGGACAGCAGTAGGTTAACCTTGTGGGTTAAAAAAAAAAGCAGATTGTAGTCTCTCTTTAATGGGGTTTGAAACAGCAGTTTGGTGGTTAGTTGCGTTGGTAACATTCCCCATAAACAGAAAGGCAGCATGTTTCATGGTGGTTAAATACATAAACAGCAGGACCCATAAAGAAATATCACCAGATAAATAAGCAGATATAGTGAACTTTCCAAATGATATTGACAGGCAATAGGAATAGCTTTCTAGCCAAAAGGAGAGAGTGCTGATAGCATTCCATGGTCTCATGTGAATGTTGGAGGGGGTGATAGGATAGGGCAAAACTCTGCTGGTGAAAACCTGAGGAATTCCTGGAACAAAGAGTAATTATCCAAAAGAGAAAGCAGAACTGCTTTCTTGCTGTTGTCCTTCTCTTTGCCAGGGTCTGCAGGCAGGTCATCTATGTAATATGTGCAGTATTAAGATGAGTATCACTTTACCTTGAGAGGACTCACCAATAACACAGGTCAAAAATGTCAGTATTTAAGAATATAAGGAGAATTTAAGAAGAATATAAAGGAGCAGATAATTGTTCCAAATTAAGTTCTTCTGAATTAGGTCATCTGAGATGATTGTCAGTGTAATGCTGCTGTTACAGTAAACTAATGAAGCAATCTGGAGTACACACAGTTATGCTTGTCTAAAGAGAGGTAGCGTAGGTTTTGCCCAACAGACATACAGTGATGGTAAGTACAGTTATGTCAGGATAACCTTATTCTCAGGCAACCATAAGACTAGTCAAAAACCATACTTGAGAAATCTGTAGATCTGAATTCTCATTATTCTGTTGTTGATTCCTTATGTTCCTGATAATAAGAGAATCTCTCTTAGTCTCAGTTTCTGTGGCTGCAAAGTGGATTGTTTACATTTTGTTTGTCGTGTGATTAATTCATTTCTGTGAAGCATTTTGCATATCACAAATAGATGTTGCTGCTTATAGGCCATAGTGACTACTTTGGCAGTACTGCAGAGTGGTATAGCTGCAGAAAAAGACTTTTGGGGTTTGTTTTTCTTTCCCCTACTGTCTTGGTGTTGTGAACGTGAACTGCCGTATGCCTTTTTACAGAGGGAGACTGGACTTTAGTCTCATCTTCTTTCCGTGTCCCCTTCCAATACACACAGGCCCCTTGTAGTTGATTAATAGCATAAAGGTTCTGCCTGTTTCTTGCTTTTTTGGGGGGGACAGTCTGCATCCACAAAGCTACCACTGAATGGAGAGGGGTGCTGCTCTACAGCTTCATTTATTGGGATCTGAACAGAAGGTCAGCAGTGATCTAGCTATTCTTTTTAAATACTGACGTTATTTTTTTAAGATGATTCAATTTTCTTTCTTTATAAAAATAGATGGCTGGATTTGATAAAATGAAAAAAAAAAAAGGAATATATAAGGATCTGGTGCTCAGACATGTAACTAAAATACACTGCATTATTTAAAAAGCAATCATCCTTAACCCAGCCCACTCCGCCCCCCTTCTACCTGACACGTTAGTTTTAGACTTGGGAATAAGATCCTTTATACCTGATGCTTCCAACTGACAAGTTTTATTTTGACAATGCTTTGTTATAAACAGTATCCTTGAAATCAATCCAAATTACCTGTTCACCATCAAGCTGATTGACAAAATTCTATATTCAGACTTGCTATGGGTAAAAAGTTGAAGGAAATGTCATTGTGTCCTTTCTTTACAGAATGAACCCATTAACAATTTCTTTTATTTCCAGTCTAACAATCCATAACACTTTCCAGTTTCCTGCTCTATAACCATCTAGCATAAAGTCTGTACTTTACTGCTGTAACATTTCATTTTGATTCCTTATATTTAGAATGGGTTAGAATGGGTTAACCCATCTGTGTTCAACTTTATCATATAAATTGATTTAAGTCAATAAACAAGCAAAGTCAAAATAAAAAACGGAGTCATGATGGTTTATTGGGAGACCTGGATAAATCCAGAAAGATCACTGAGTGACAACTTGCAGCTCATTCAAATAATTGACTTAGTCCTATGTGCTTCTCAAAAGACTGGTCCTTATTTCCAGAAGTTTTAACCCACACTGATTTAAAACAGTAAGAACAACCCAATGCAAATCTTTACAAAAAGAAATGGATGAGACCTATAATGACTCAAACTTGATTTCATGTGTAGATGTACAATTTTAGAAAATGAGCATTTGACAGAGCAATGGTAGGCTGTAAACTGATGAACAGATCATATGACTAATATAGCTGAGATGGAATGGAACTCGCATGAGAGAACATAAATCTGCTCCATTTAGCAGATCTGTGTGTGTTTGTAACAGTACAACTTTTTAATTTACTATGGCATTGTCAAAAACTGGGTTTAAATAAATTGAGTACTGAATTTGAAGCTATGAATAATACTTCCAGTTATCTCTGAAAAACATAGGTTAGGCAATGGGTAAAACATATATATGGCTGGCAATGAAATCAAGATTCTTCTACAGAGAAGAGTTAAACCTTATTTAAAATGAATGGAAATGTTCCAGATTCCAATGATAACTTCATTATTTCTTGATGTTTTGTAGGCTGAGCCAGTAAACAAGCCTTTTAGCTTGTTTATATGTTCTTGGTTTGAAGTCTTTTCAATGAGAAGAAAGTCCAAGTCATCTGAGTAAAGTTTGTGTAAGAGGGCACTTAAAAAGCCATCTTTGTGTCTGCAGAGGAGGCAGGCAGTCACACTTCAAATCTTGTTCAACAAATGGTTACAAACATTCAGTGTAAGAGCTGAATGGTTAACAAGTGGTTTCTGCATCTAGAAACATGCCTTTGATATTGAAGTGTCCCAGGATGGTTCCTTCCTCTACTAATAATACGTGAAAACAAGGCAGCCTTGGCTTTAGTGAGAGTTTTGTAATATTCTGAGAGATGCCATTTGCATGCCTTGAAAATTGCATGCAGTCTCATTGAGCATTCTTTTGCTTCCAGACATTGCTTGCTCTTAATTCACTCTTAATACTCTGACTTAAGGCATAAGCCTGGAAGAAAAAGAAGTCACAAGATGTTAAAAATGTGATTCATGTTCCACAAATATTTCACCTTTTATAAAATAACAGGCAGCAACTTTGGGAAGGATGAAGAATGTTGTCTATTATTGTTCTGCTTGCTCTTGTGCTATATCCCAATTTTGTAACAACTGGAAAACAAATAAGTCTGTTTACATCCTCTATTCCAGGATTCCAGAAGCCAACCAGGCTTTTGCCGTCTTTGCTTGGGCTCTGTTTAACATGGCGCATTTGGCTGCTGAATATTAATCAGTAGTTAGTGCTTATTATTGACCATAACATGAGTATAATAGTAAGGTCAGTGAAGAAAAACTGTGTAATGAAAAGACCAGATCTTGAGGTGTGGGAGTGGACCGTAATATTTCATACAGTGCCATGCTGTTTCCAGACAAGGAGGACAATTCATATCCTTTACTCCCCTTAAGACACCTCAGAGCAAGTTTTAACCCTTCATATACCCTGTATTTAAATAAAACTCTTATTCTGCCAAAGAATTTTTAGCTGGTTTAGAAACTGAAATGGCCATTTTAAGAACTACTTCTTTGCTGGATTTTTCTGAGCTATTTGTCTTGGTTTTATTCTGCAGTTATGCGACTGGGAGGAGAATGATATGCTGTACGAAAAAGTACATTCATATGTTTAAAATGCATTGACTACATTTCTATTGCATATAAGCTTTTCTTGTATGGAGTAGAAGCCTCCAGATACCTCATGAAATCTTTTCTTACTCTTCCATATTTTAGATCAAATTGTCTTCCTGTTGTTGACCTGATTTTGTCCCGAGACTTGTAAATCATATTTGTTTCTCCCTTTTCCTCTTGTTTTGTGTAGTTTTGTTTTGTTTTTTTTCTTCTGTAACCAGAACAATGTAAAACTTTAGTAACTTGGAGGAGAATGTTCCATCAGTTGTCATTTCAATTTTCTGTTATTTTCTAAATTTTTTTTTTCCTTCTTAAAAAGAGAAATCAAGGAGGTGTGCCCGCTTTAAGTCCTGGCTTACCATAATGTGTTAAAGTCTGGTATAAAAAGAAAGCATCTATTTCTCAAACCATAATCATGTGCACAATTCAATCTCAAGATAGAACAGTACTTCATGGATACAATACTCATTTGTTGCACAGAATCCTACCTTGCTCCAAAGATGAGCCAAGAGAGACCTTTCTACTTCTATTTCACTAACTAGTAACAGCTTGTTCCCCTGTTGGTTTTTTCACCACTGCTGTATATCATATGGATCTAAATTGAAATTTCATTACTCTGAAAGAAAGCGGACAGCATTAATACTAAATATCTCAGTTAAAGTCAGAGGATTGAAGCAGCCTGTAAAGAAGTATAGCTTATTCATTTATGTTAAAAATATTTGCCTAGAACTGCTTTCAACTTCAATTCTTCATGAAAAATTCTATTCAGACAATTATGGGGAAAGTATAAATGAATACTTAACTGCTCTGTGTTTCCATTGTAACCCAGTTAAAACAGCATCAGTATTATTGAATGATAGATTTGTTTGGCAGCCATTGTAATGTCATTCCCTCCTTTTTAGACACTTCAAGAAGCCATGTGCAACAGAGTGAGATTTTGCAAGACATACAAAACCCCTTCAGGATTTGGTTTCGAACAAGCAGATGTGTGACTTTTTTTTTTCTGTCAAATGATACCAGAACATCAGTAGTTTATATGTCTATAGTCTCTGTTGATGAAATATTTGCTGATGACCCTGTTGGAGATACGCATACTTGTCTGGATCAAAAATTGTGTTTTGTGGAAACAGCTTAATATAAATTACACTCCATGGTTTCTGCCCTCTTAAAGAGCCTGATCTCATCTTACATATATAAGATTTGCAAAGGAATGTTTACAAAGAAATCGGGAAATAGTACAAAAAGGAAAGAGAGTTGTCAGAGCAAAAAGGAACAAGACTTAACTCAGATTGGACAAACAAAGAATCCAAGATTTTCAAATACTTTAAAAAGCACTGTTAAAAAGATTGCCAAGTGTCCATCTGCTCGCAACTTATCAACTGAAGAAGAGGAAAGTAATAGAGAATTTTCACTTTCTCCAACATTCAGTTACAGAGTTGCTATTGCCAATGGACTGCAAAAGCATATTTTTGTAACAAACAATAATAATGAAGATATAGTTCAAGATCTGTCTTCAAATGATAGCTCATATTCTGAATCGTTAAGTGAAGTAAAAAGTAGTAGCAAGAAAAACGAATTCTTATCACACACAATGCCTGTGAGACGCAACAGAAAAAGCTTAAGCAGCCTTGCACCATCTGATGGAAGTTCTGATGGAGAACGCACTTTACACACACTGAAGCTGGGAGCTTTACGAAAACTAAGGAAATGGAAGAAGAGCCAAGAATGTGTCTCATCAGACTCCGAACTAAGTACATGGAAGAAAACATGGGGTTTAAGAAGTAAATCTCTAGACAGAACTGGCCGTCACCAGAAATCAAATACTCTTGAACCTGGCTTTAGTTCAACAGGTTGTATTAGTCAAACCCATGATGTTATGGAAATGATCTTTAAAGAGCTTCAGGGAATAAGTCAAATTGAAACAGAACTCTCTGAATTAAGAGGGCATGTTAATGCTCTGAAACAATCAATTGATGAAATTTCTAGTAGTGTAGAAGTTGTACAAAATGAAATTGAACAATTACGAACTGGATTTGTACAGTCCAGAAGAGAAACTCGGGACATACACGACTACATTAAGCAGATAGGCCATCCAGGAAACAAAGCCAGTCTTAGGTTTCTAAATGTGCCTGAAGAGAGGCTTGAAAAAACTGAAAGCGTAGTTTACAAAATATTAATAGATAAAATGGGGTTCTCAGAGGCACAGAGCACTATTAAAATTGAGTTTGCCCAAAGACTGGGGCAGCAAAGAGACTGTCCAAATGCAAAGCCAAGACCCATTCTTGTTTACTTTGAGTCATCACAGCAGAGAGACTTGATTTTAAAAAAGTCTTACAAACTTAAGGGAACTGGCATTGGAATTTCTACAGATATATTTTCCCATGACATAAAAGACAAAAAAGAAAGAGGACTACCTTCCTCTCAGACATATGAGAGTATGGATATGAAGCTTTTAACTGTGGAGACAAAAGCTAAAATGCATGACTGGGAGTCACCTGACAGTGATAAAGACTTGGAATCAGATATAAATAAGAACAGTTATGTAAAGATATCTAAATCAGCACTTCAAATAAAAACAAGCACTACAAAGGGGAGTATTGAATCCCCAAATACTAAAGACCTTAATAGAACTGCTGACAATAACACCTTTTCAAACAGAAGAAATTATGGCAATCAGTCACCAGAATTTGACAACATGGAAAAACAATCCAAGACCTATTATTCAGACATGACTCCTCTATGGCACTTACAGAATGACTTTGCAACACCAAAACTTAGCCGTTCAGAGTCAGATTTCTCAAAATTGTGTCAGTCTTACTCTGAGGACTTTTCAGAGAATCAGTATTTTAGCAGAACAAATGGCAGTTCACTATTGTCTTCTTCTGATCGAGAACTTTGGCAGCGAAGGCAAGATGATTCTATAAACTGGTATGGCAGTTCCCAGGAACAGACTTTTGTCCAAGGTATGCAACAGTATCCAGAGCAAAATGAAGTAGAGAACACAGAAACTGTTGACATGATTCTCAGCTTGCTTTACATGATGATCTTTCCCCATGGAAAGACTGGAATCAGTTGGAACAAGGGGCAGATTTGGACCTAAACTCATCCACGCAGGAAGTTTTTGTATATGATATGAGCAGCCCTTCAGATCAACAGACAGATTTTGGAAAATGCCTAAGTTCTGACCTCCAGTATGATACTGAAAGCTATGATTTTACCCTTGATGGTACTTCTCCATCATGTCCAGGCCTTGATAGCGAATCACAAAGTCAGTGGACTGGTCAATATGATGATTATCAGGAAACAAATTCTATCTCCCCATATCAGAATCAAAGCAGATTGCCTATGATGTACCGAAGTCAGAGTGAACTACCAAGCGATGACTCAGAAGAAACAGCCCCTAAATCGTGGCATAGCCGATTAAGCATAGATCTTTCTGATAAGACTTTCAGCTTTCCTAATTTTGGATCTACACTTCAACGTGCTAAGTCAGCTTTAGAAGTAGTTTGGAATAGAAGTACACAAAGTTTAAGTGGGTATGAAGACAGTGGATCATCTTTCATGGGAAGATTTAGAACTTTATCTCAGTCTACTGCAAATGAGTCAAGTACAACACTTGATTCTGATGTTTATATTGAGCCTTATTGCTACAAAGCAGAGTATGAGGAAGACTTAATTGAACCACCTGGTGAAAATGAAACAGACTATGTAGAAGTAATGGAACAAGTCCTTGCTAAACTTGAAAATAGAACTAATAGTAGTGAAACTAGTGAGCAGGTCCAAGAATATGAACTGGGGCAGCCTTCGTATGAAACTCCATATGCAATACTACCAGAGGAGCAATATGACACACAGTTTGGCAGTGTGGTCAGTGAAGAGATATTGGAAGTTGAAAGTGACACAGCTGCTAACATAGAAGTAAGGGAAGATGAAAATCAGAATGTCCCAGAGATGCTTACTGAAACTCCAAAGAAAAAAAGAATACGACCATCATTTAAAGAAGCTGCTTTAAAAGCATACAAGAAACAAATGAATGATTTGGAAGAGAAGATCCTTGCTGGAGGTAACAGTATTTTAATATTGTCTTTTAAGTAAAACATTGTTCTTACTCGAGTTGGACATTGATTTCTGTAGAGTACCTGATCCTGCTTCCATTGAATTTGGTGACAAAAATTCTGCTTATGTCTGGTTTCATTCATAGGATGAAATAGTCCTGTGGAAGTCAAAAGACTAAAATTTTACAAGTTTGTTTTGAAGGAATTTTCTGAATATATTTAGTCAAACATGTTTGTAAGCAATTGTATTGCTTTGAATTGCAGTAACTTGAAAATTAAATTTCACAAGATTTAAATGCTATAAAAAGAACTAAACAGTACACTGTTCTTGGTTTTCTTATAGCTTTATAAACATATTCACAGGAGTAATCCAGAGAGTTCAGATATTACAGTGCTTCCTTTAACAGTTTTCAAGGCCTAATTAGCTCTATATTCAATCTGATGAGCAGTGTTCTGCATCCTGTATGCAACCTATAGCTTTCTATGTACTTGTAAGAGGGCAAGTCTAAACTGATTTCAATTCTGTCTTTAGTTGTACTCCCAGTAAGCCCTCAATCAAGTAGTCAGTCCCCAAAAAGTGAAGAGAAGGGTGTGGAGGAAAGAAAAAAGAAGTGTAAATGGTAGCATCTGTGTATGAAGAAGCGGTAGAAAGGAACTTAACTCACAGAGTGTGTTGACACAGATTTATTCACGATCTTTATCTTCTGTGTTAACAGACTTCAAAGCAGACAGTCATATACATAACTTTAATACCTCTAGTAATACACAAATATGGTGATTTTCAATATTAACATACACTGTAATGCTAACATCCACAGATGGAATCTCTGTCCTTGGAGATATTCAAAAGCCATCTGGACATGGTCCTGGGCAATCTGCTCTAGGTGACCATGCTTGTGCAGGGTTGTTAGACAGGATGGCCTCCAGAGGTCCTTTCCAGCCTCAACTGTTCTGTAATAAGGAAATATTTTTTTTTAATACTTTTGTATGCAGCCTTTGAAGAAGGATGTCTTCTTTATGTCAGTTTTTCCTCTAAGACAAAACATCGTTAACTTCTGTTTATTACTTGAATTACACAGCAATTTTGATTTAGTATAGGAAACAACATTTTGTAAATCAGTTCTTAAAGGAGTTCTACAAAACACACAAAACGTACAGTTTGCAGCCTCTCAGTTTTTACAACCATGTCCCTCTTTACGTATCAATTCATGCATGTCCAGAGAATTCTTAACAAATAGTAGTTCGGGGTATTATATCTTATTTTTAGTATTTGCAGGAGCAGTAATAACTTTAAAGAAAAGTGACTAATAGCTGATCTAGGGTTTGCATTACTGTTATGTTGGTGGTTTGTTGTTTTTTTTTTTTTTTTACTCTCTTACCGCTATAACTGATTCACAGTCAACTTCTGGTTTCTTATTTGCAGATGGAAAAGTACTAGTTGCAGATGAAGTTCCTTGAATTAATCTTCATTGTATAACCAAAGCATAACCTATTGTTTAATGAATTGCTTTGTCTCTCCACGTAGGCAGGAGCAGGTAGACAGAAATCTGGCCAACCAGAGATACAGCCAGATAATACAGTAGTATTATTTCTCCAATTAGTACAAAGGAAAGGTTTGGAATGGTATGATTTTCATTCTAGTAACACATGAGGTAAGGTCATTGAAACTTTGGAACATAAATAATTTATTAGTGCACAAGAGCCCCATTGGATAGTCCTATTCTCTCTCTCTAGCTGGAGAGAAAAAAATACACTATGGGCTGATTGCTCATGTATTATTTATTAAAATGTGTTTTTGGAGACATACTGGAGTGAAAGTAATAGGGTATATGGATGAGGGAGATGTGAGTAATCCTCGAATTTAAAGTTCTGTAAAGACATAGAGGCATTGTGATAATGCATGTATATTAATGAAAGGATTGATGGCTTTTTAGAAAAATATCAGAGAAATGCTAGCCAGTGGTTTGTTTCTTTGTATGCTGTAATCCAGAATAACTCCTACCCTTTTATTGATTGTCCCAGTCCTCACTTGTTATTTTCTAGCTTTCTTTTCCCCTAGTGGCTTCTTTCATTCCATCCCTATCTTGTTATCTTTTACAGGTGCCTTAGAATAGGCATCATTCTCCTGATGAAACTACCACTCTGGATAAGCTTCTAGAGTTGCATGCACTCTTCTGAGTTGCTTTTAATGATAACACAAACTATGAATGGTAGTTTACTAGCAATACTTTCTTGATCTAGTTGATGAAGATCTTACTGATCATTTGGTGACTGGTCAGATTTTAAAAAGCCTTTGGTCTGAATTTTCTGCCATAGAGTAACCTGTAGATTGTTTATGGTATCAAGATGGATGAACTCATCTTGTTCTATACATAGATACAGTGGCAAGTCAGATTACAGGGGTCAGGGATGGGAGTTGCCTCTTTAACCTGTGGATGAAAGTGGGTTTTCTATTGTTTTATAGGAGGGATTTGTGTTACATTTAGTGGTGTCTGACTGAAGAACAGAACTTAGAGATCAGTATCAATAGAGCCTTATTTTGTATATGCCTGAAGGAGGACACATGATGCTAACATTTGAAACCAAAGGAACCAGTAATGTATTACCGCACGCCCCTTGCAGTGTGGTCATTTGGTTCCACATTAAGAAAAGCTGTCATCACAATAAGTATATTACTAATGCATATTTCAAACTCTGTCTATTCAAACTGCACTCTTTTGAAACAAGTATATATTTTCTTATTTTGACAGCTTTTCTAGCCTTTTTATAATAACTATTTGCTGGAACTGCCCGAGTCAGCTGTCTTTTCCCAAAGAGTGTAGGCTTTAGGAGTTAATCTAACCTTGTCTTGTGGTAGTCAGGCTTTTGTTTCCTTTATGTCTTACCTCCATCATGTTTGTTTTTAATACACTTGTGTAGGTGCACAGTTACTAGTAACTAATACCTATAGTTAAGAGTATTGTACCAGTTTTGTTACGCGAATATAAATCTTGGATTTGAACTTGAAAAGATCAGTGCTGTGGGCCAGATGAAAATCAATTGATCTGGTATTGTTTAGTAAATGAATCAGTCATTTATAGCCTTTCAGGTGGAAACAGGATAAATAAAAACATTACCTTGGTCACGGCAACTGCATATTGGTTGAAGGTGACTGTAATGGGGAAATAAGAAGCCTGTTAGAAGACAAATTGCTTTTAAATATTAAAGAGTTCTCTACACTCAGTCTACATTAGCTGTGTTGGGAAGTGGGCTTTAAGAAGGGACCACTCTTTGTAGCAAGAGAAATGAAAAAATGAAAAGTAGACGCATAGTCCATCTTATTTCTTAATTGCTTGGGGTAACTATGTTGACTGATTAAAATATTGCGAATTGTGTTTGGGTTTGCAGGTTTTTTCCCTTAAAAATAAGGCTCCTTCTCTGGCTGCTGGTGCAGATTGGGTAAGGGAAGTATGTCTGGTCAGATCGCAGAATTCTAGTTTAGTGTATAAAATACTACAGCAATTAATAAAAATAGAACATGTATATTTGTATGTATTATGCTAAACTGAGCTGCTAATTCCTTCATTGACCAGCAGTAACAGCTAATGCCAGTCTTGTTCATACCACAGTATAAAAGAGGTTGTTGATAATGGTCATATTTTCCCCTTTTTAATCAGTCTGTCATTGTCATAACAAAAGTAAGTGTTTGTCATGTTGCGGGAATTCTTTGAAATCTATAGGACCCCTCTGTTGTCATTACCACCTCATTTCTTCATGTATTTTGTTGTTAAAAAATTAAATACAAACTGAAGTTTATACTTATCCTTTAGTGAATAACGGTGTTGTGGCACTATTGAAGGCTTTGGTGTAATTAAATCTAAACAAGCAGCTTTAAGTTGATATAGTTTTGAAATACTTTATATGGCTTTAGGTGTACTTCACTGTAAGCACTCACTAGAAGCCCCCACTGGCAGGCTTGAAGCAGAGTTGTGGCTACACTTTAAGTTTTCTTTGAGTTTAGCACCTCCCTGTACAAAATAATGAAACTTTTTTTTTTTTTAATATGATCTCTTTGAGATACTTTTCTTTCACTGAGCCCAATGGCATTTCTCATCTTTCTAATCTCAGGCATAGTCTAATGGGAAAAAGAAAAGTTAATGAATGAGTATACTGCAATTAGCCTTTGCATCATTGTGAAAGAATAGCCCAGACAGGAACACTTTTAGTTAATAAGAGTTAACGATAATACCAAGCCCCAAAATTTTCTGTTCTGTTTCAAAATATTGAAACCACAGTATTCAGTGATAGAAAGTTTTGGTTGTATTCTACCATATCCCTAATAGATGTTTGGTTGGTTGTTTTTTTTTTTTTTAACCTGGAGTGATAAAAGACTTCATTAATATAAGGGCTGATTGTGTATGCTGTGTGGCTGATACATTTGTTCTGCAATGTTTAAAAATATATATATATATATTCACTTAATGTATGAGGTATAAAGAGCTGGATTTGGGGACATAATGCTTTTCAACAGAAGTTGATTCATCTATTGCTCTTCTCTTCATATGTAAATCATGTAAACAGGTAGAGTACAGAAACTTTTCATCAGTGTAAATTCCCTTCCATATTCACATCAGAAGACGATGACAAAGGAACAGATATATTGTGTAAACAGGCTGGGGAAGAAATGGATTCCCTTGCTATACACTTGAATAGATGTGTGGTACTGAGGAAACAAGATTTATTGCAAGTTAAGGAATGTATTTTGGTGCTGTATTGGGGATGACAATGAACTTCAATTAATAAGCATTTAATCAACCAGTTTTTCCAACTAACTTTTTTTTTTTTTTTCCTTTCCTAACTTCATGTTTGTGCCTGCCTTTTGGCCAGGTAAACAAAATAATGGATATCTTTAACTTTTTTTTTTTTTAAAGTTAAAAATATTTTAACTTTTAAAAGTGGGGTAAGAAGCTGAAGTGGCGAGAAACTAAATACATTTTCTGATTATGTGGGTAGGAATTGATGACTTGAC